CCCCCCCCCAGCCCCCTAATGCCCCTTTAAGAAAAAAAAAACCTGAAGAAACCCAGGGACTCACCACTCCTGCCAGCAAAGGGCAATCCCCGCTGCCCCCCCACTGCCCCACATCATGTGGGGGGCTCTGCAGAAGCCCCCAAGGTCCTGAGGCTGCACTAGGAGTGGTGAGTCCTGGGGTTTTTCTTGGCTTTTCTCGGCTTCTTTTTCTTAAACGGCCAGAGCACCAGCAGGCGGGGCAGCCAAGGGGGCTGGGGGATTAGGAGGGAGATCGAGGGGGCTCATGCAGAGCCCCCCATGCAGCATGGGGCAGTGGGGATCACCCCCCACTCAGCAGCACCCAGTGAGCACTGGGGCTTTTTTTTTTTTTTTAAGTATGGGGCTGGGGTGGACAGGATAGCCATGGAGGGGCTGGGGGAGTGGGCAGAGGTCAGAGGGGCTGGCAGGGGTACCTCCATGGTCCCCTCCCCACTCCCCCAGCACCTCTGCCCCCACCCATAGTACTTACCAGCTTACCAACTTACCTGCAGCTCCCTGCTGCAGCCACCGGGGACTGCCTGAATCATCAAAGCTCTCTGAATCTTTGCCGAAGATTCAGAGAGCTTTGAATCGATTCAGACCTTTAAATTGGTCCCCTGATTTGATTCAGATTCAGAGATTTGGCCATCAAATCGGGCCGAATCTCCTTCGAATTGAATCACCACCTGAAGCTTTGCACAGCCCTACTAGTAACTCTCTTGAAAGAAGCTATTCTTCCTTACTGTTAATCACTGTAGAATATGAAGTGCAGATGATAAACTACTGAAAGAAATATTTCTTTTGATTTAGATTTTTAAGTTTGGGGTGAAATAAATGATGCAAATCATTATGAACACACTGTGCAAGTCATCCTTTGTTCTCTGCATACATACCACTGAAGGATGTTTGACGCAATTGCATATTTTGTCTCTAGTGTTTGAATTTCTTTATTCATATGTTGCTTTCATTATGGTAGTTTCAGCTTCCCACCTTCAATTGTCTTGTCCTCCTTTGTTTGCTTCTGGTTCATATTTTTATTAACTACCTTCTGGAAGATTAAACTAAGTGGAGGGTAAGACCTTGAGATATTACTTTTGCCTGTTTAAATATATTTTTTCTAATTATTATTTAACTTCCCTATGGCTACTTTTACACTGTATGCACAACAAGTGTAGTTGTCCTTGTCTTCATGTCTTTATTTGAGATTTAATGGCTAGTAATTCAACTGACATTCAAAATCACTCTGTGGAATGTATGGGGCCTTAAATAAACCAATAGAAGCTTGAAGTGCTTGAATATTTGAAAGAAAAAAACTGAAATCCAAATCCATTATTAAAAGAGACAGCCCAAGGTCAAGGATATTGCCAAGTTTGTAGGGATGAAGTGTTTTGTTTTCTATCAAGCTTAAAAAAAATTCCAATTTTGCATAATTCATTTCAATCTGCTGTAATTTAATACATTAACTCTTAGTATATTGTGGGAAAGGAAAGTGTTATACCAAAGGAGACTTTCTTGCATATGTACTGGCATCTGGCTGCTTTACCACTCCAGCCAGGAAGAGCACAGACCATCTGCAGATGATTCCTCAGCCTTACAAAGAGTCTGCACCCAAAAGCTTGCTAAGAAGAATTTTTACAGCTATTTGAGTTGATCTAATAAAAGAGATCAGATTTACCCGCAGAACCTCATCTACCTATACCAAAGGAGAGGTGTATCAACAAGTGTAGAATTAGCAGGAGAGGGTTGGGACTGACCTTCCTGGCCGTGTTAATGGGTTCACTTTCACAGGGAACTTGTATGAAGAAGCCAACCTCTTGCCAAACATGTGTGATCTTTGTGACAGCACTGATCATGCTTTCTAAGAAGCAGATTTAAAGCTGGGTGTCTTCAGTGTTTCGGTGCCCAAGCAACTGATGGGGTCCCACAGCTTCTTTAGAGGACTTAGGAAAACTTCCTGAAGGAGGGGTTCAATTTGTATCATAGCTTTGCATAATGTCAGACTTTGGAGGATGAGAAAAACTGTAGTCACAGCCTTGTATGGTATACATGAGAGGACTGACTGCAACACTACACCAGATACATTATGTCTCAGAATACGTTTTGTGAAGCAAGTCAGTAACATCTGACTGTTGGCATTCAGGACCAAAAATGAACAACTGGGTTATTAAGTCCAGATTCTTACAGTTGAGATGTGGTATTTTGATGATTTTTCAAAAGAAAGCAAAGAAGCAGGTCTTCAGAAAACTGTTCTTCAGTAAAGGAGCAGTTCTGTCGTGGATTGATTGATAAAGAAATGCCATTCTTTGGTAATTTGAATGCTAAATGGAATTCCTTTGACAGCACTTTGAATCCTATTTACTGAGCTTCCACAACAATGTGTTTGCATATAGGTTTATGAAAAATGAATTTTAGGCCTGTACACATGATTCCTTTACATTATAAAACAACATGCTTCAGGATAAAGTAAGCCTTTTTCCTAAGTAGCAGTTTGAAGTTCCACTTAATAAGTTTAGATTAATAACAAGGTCAAGAAGTGTAAATGATGAAACAAAAAACATTACAGTCTCGAAGGAATGTGCATAGTGAAGGGTTCAAGCTCAGTTTATCCATAGATTGTCTTTTTTTCTTTAAAAAAAAATTAAACAATTTTAGATGAGAGGGTTTTGGCTTTTTTAATTGTAGCTTTTCTGCAGATGACTGAAAAATAGTATGTAATGAACAATGCATTGGATATTTGAAAATGACGGTAGGGTATTTCTTGTAATTAATAGTTAGTTTCCTGAGCCCATATGCATCATTTAGCTATCTTGGTAGGTTCCTTC